ACAATTGTTTTTTTCCTAGAATTATAAATTATAACTCACAGGCCATGGAAACACTCTAAGTATTTTTCCCGTTTCTAAGTCTATGACTCCTGATTATACATGAGATCCTAGGAACATACCCGTAGAGGAGAGAGGTTCAGGAACAGAGTGCACTCACTTAGAGGCAGAAGTTGGCAAGGAATACATCAATTTCCTGACCCCCACCCTTAAGCCATTACTCTAACAGGGGTCATGGTGATGTTTCCAAATCATGGGTTTTATGCCAACAAGGCCTTCATGGCCAAGAGCTTCTGAAAGATAACAACACTCACCTTTTTTCAGTGTTCAGTTACCTAAGCAAACGACTCTAGGTCTTTTCCAAGGGATACTGGAGAATCCCAGAGTTGTATACTTCCCTTGGTTTTGCATGAACCTGCCTCATGAGAACCCAGCCTATTTTTGAGTTAGACCTTCTTGTGTCAGAACTGTCTCGGGTTTTAACTGGATGAAGGATGATGACTGTATATGGGGGCTGGTGACATCTGACTTCTGTTCATCTTGATGATTTTTATTTCCTGTTAATGAAGGGACACACTTGTCTGCCGTTTATATCTATTTTCCATAATGAAACATGCTCTAAGAGGTAAGTCCTAGATATTGCAGGTCAGTCCTGCTCTGATGCACTCTCACACTGCTGCCAGCTCCTTATGCCTACCTTGCATTGATGGCAAAGTGCTGGCCTCTGCCATTCCCACATCCTTTCACCACTTTGGTGCCATGAAAGGAGCCCATCTCTGTAACAGCGTCCCCTGCTTTGAGCTCTGACCTATGAAGAATGTCCAGCGCTTACATCTCAGCAATGTTGGTGTTCCCTGCACTGGTGCAGTGGTCATGGGCAGTCTTTTTTTCTTTTGAGCCTAATGTTGCCCATGCTGGAGTGTAGTGGCGCGACCAGGGTCACTGCCACCTCCACCTCCCGGGTTCAAGCAATTCTCCTGCTTCAGTCTCCAGAATAGGTGTGATTACAGGCATCTGGCACAACGGTCAGCTAATTTTTTGTAGTTTTAGTAGAGAAAAGGTTTCACCATATTGGCCAGGCTGGTCTCAGATTCCTGACCTCAGTTGATCCTCCCACCTCTGCTGCCCAAAATACTGGGATTACAGGCATGAGCCACCCAGCCTGGCCATCATGGGTAGTCTTAAAAATCATAGTCAGCTCCTGATTCTTCTTCTACAGGAGACACAATCCAGGATGCTTACTGGTCGAGATTGGATCTGTGTCCCCACCCACACCTCATGTGGAATTGTAATCCCCAATGGTGGAGGTGGGGCTGGTTGTGCTGGTGAGAGTTGAGTGGATCATGGGGGTGGATCTCTCATGAATAATTTAGCACCATCCCCTAGGTACTTTCTGGTGATACAGTTCACAAAAGATCTGGTTGTTTGAAAGTGTGTAGCACCTCTCCTACCACTTGCTCCAGCTCTAGCCATGGAAGATGAGCCTGCTTCCCTTGTAATTTTTGCCATGACTTTATTTTTCTGAGGCCTCCCTAGAAGTTGAGTTGATGAAGCACCATGCTTTTTGTACAGCCTGTGCAACCATGAGCCAATTAAACCTGAGTTTTTATAAATAATTACCCAGGCTTAGGTAATCTTTATAGCAGCGCATGAAGAGACTAATACATGCGCTTTTGAGCTACGTTATTCTTTACCTCAAAGCTCTACATCCATGCAATTCTGTTCTGATCCTAACCACCTGCAGTGAGCCCACACTCCCCAGGTTCTTGGCAAATTTTTCCACTTTCCTAACCTCACATCCAATGCTAGTCCCAATTTGGCAATCTCAGGTCATTCACACTACCCTCCAACTTGCCACAAATTCAAAAGTTCCCATCAGTCACAGGATTACTATGGAGCTAGCATCACTCACGCAACTAAAAAAATCGCTATATTTGTTATTACAGTGTTATAACAGCTAAAATATACAAATCCAAAGAAGCCAAAGAGACAGACAAATAGGGCTGGGTCATAGAGGATCCCGAACAGATGGCTCCATTACCTGCTCAAGGTGGGGTGAAGGGGAATGCATCTCCGGGCTCCACTGATGACTGGTCTCTTTGTGATGAAGCCTTGTGTCTGGGCCTCAGGTGTACATGTCCCTTGGCCCTAGGAGATGATGATGCTTTCCAACTCTCAAACCTGGTTTATTTCTTACATATTTTGAAGCAGAATCTCACTCTGTTGGCCAGGCTGGAGTGAGTGCAGTGCACAATCATACCTCACTGTAACCTCTAAGTCCCTGGCTCAGGTGATTTTTTAATCTCATACTCTCCATTAGCTAGATCTGCAAGTACAGGTGCATGTCACCAGCCCATCTAAGTTTTAAGAAAATTTTGTAGAGATGACATCTTGCTGTGGTGTCCAGGCTGGGCTGGATCTCCTGGACTCAAAAGATCCTACCTCCTCAAGCTTCCCCTGAATCTCTGGATTATAGATGTGACCCACCACACCTAGTCCCAACTCTCACACTTTAAATTGCTGAGTGACAGGTAAGAGCCTGTCTTTTCCTCTTTCAATGCATCAATGGCAGTTCGCAGCCACTCAATGCCACATTCCTATTGCTATTATTTACCTACAATCTTCCAAACCAAAGGCAATGCACTTTCAGTGCTTCTAGTGTAGTTCATCCAAAATTACCCCAGGTGAAACATCGGTGATTCTACAATGGTCACATGCTCTAGCGACTCTCTGTCATCCAATTGCCAGCAGTGATGGGTGCTCATTGCAGTCCTGTGGAGAATCATCCAACCCCAGAATCCATACTTAGGGTTAACTTCCCAGGACCATTACCAGTGGTGACTGCTAGGTCATGGTTTCTAGAAGCAGAGCATTAGATAGGGAATCAAGATTTGCATTGAGGGAGTGCTCCCGATAGCTCAGGCAGGGCAGTTCAAGGAAAGCAGGTAACATCAGGTCTGGCTGAAGACCTGCTTAAGCCTGATCCCAGACAGGCTCTGGAGCACAGGCTTCAGCAAAGAAGTGGCCTCATCTTGGTCACCCTGACACTTCTGTGCCAGTGATTCCCTGGCTGCTAGCTGTTGCCAGGAAGGGGATGATTAACAACCATCTGGGCCGTGTGACTGCATGTCAATCTCTCTAGGAGAGGCACCCACCAGGTGTGAAGGAGGAGCCTGGGGAAGGGGGTCTGGGCAGTGCACACACAGACATTCCTGTAAATGGCTTTCAGGAAACACATCAGAATCTCAGGATGTTGGAAATTAGGGGTGGACATAGAAAGAACAAAATATCTGTCCAAAACAAATACAAATGTCCATGAAAAGACAAAATGCTGGGCAGAAAGGCAATGAAAGATCATAAGGGTTCCAAAACATCCTCCGTGGGACAGCGTTCATTAAGACAAAGGAGGAACCCTAGACCCAGCTTAAAAGGAAGTGGCTTCAGGGAGAGCTTCTGTGGGCACACTCAGAGTTGAGGTAAAACTCCTGGGATTTTGTCTAATTTCAGTGTGACTGGGGTAGGGGTAGACTTTTGGTAATGTGAGCTCCTGCGTATCAGATGAAGGGGTCAGCAAATTCCTGGACAGGATTCACGAAGATGAGAGAGAAGTTGGAATTCCTAAAAGGCTGGTGGTCAAAAGAATGAGGATGAAGAGGAAGGTGTCCTGATACCTCGGAGGCAGAAGTGAGGCTGAAGGCAGGAAGCTGTTCAAGAGAAGAAGGGAGTTTGGAAAGAAGTGGATCTCAGGCCAGAAACCTTCCCCCACCTGGAACCCCAAAGCATTCTAAAAACGGGGGTGGGAGATAGAGGAGGTTGTCTGAGCAGAGAAGGATCTCGGAAGCCAGCATGGGGGAAGGAAGAAGGTAGGAGGCTGTCGTGAAGTGGGGACTAGAGAAAGGGTGAGTAGTTTTCAGAGAAACGGCCAGTGTCCAGTGCTGTCCAGGAGCGAATCTGGCTGCTTGTTCTGAAACAGCTTTCCTGTTAGCAATGCTCCATGGGAATGGTTAGTTCCTGAAAATAGTGGACCCCAGCAGGGCTGACTAGGAGCATGGGAATAGGGAGAGGGAGGGGATCCAAGGCCCGGAGGACCTTGCCGAGCGTGCAGCCTGCAGAACTGAGGGAACTAGAGTGGGGGTGGAGATAATATCCTGGCTTTTATAGAGTGACTGCAGCCCAGAAAAGTGGAAAACACTGGGGAGGGTACCCCAAGGACTTGAAAAATCTTGCCGAGTGTGGAGCCCTGAAGTGCGCAGACCACTCAGTTGTCCCTCAGGGCCCTGGGAACCTTGCGGAGTGTGGAGTCTCTAGAGCAGAGTGGGCGCGGCTAGGGAGGTGGATTTCCGGCCAGAAACCTTCAGGGACTTGAAGTCCCAACACATGCTAAAAACATGGGTGGGGACACATATCTGAAAGATTTTCTAGTACTTGGAGCCTAGAAGGGAAACTTGAAGAGAGCAGCGTGGAGCGCTCAGAAGATGGCGGAGAGGGCGGAGACAGCCGAGCCGGAAGAATCCAGAAAAAGAGGCCGGGACAGGACATGGGGGCTCGGAAGCATACACAGTGCACAGGGCCCCCTGCAAGGCCGCTTTCACACTGCCGGGTTTTCCTCCGCAGCTGCAGAGCTGCACTTTCCCTCTGTCCCAACCAAAATGTGTCCCTTGCAGGTCTCATAGGCCATGGACGGGATCTGAGCCTCATTTATTCAGGGGTCTCAGTCCTCAACGAGGCCATAGTCACTCTGCTTCCCGATAGAGTCCTCTCAAATTAGTAAATACCCCTCAAGGCGCCCAGGGTTTGTCTTTATCCCTCCCTGAAACTTCTCCTTCTGAAGGAAGTTCTTGAACACCCCCCGTATTTACTGCCAGAATTTCAACCTCTGAAACATCCGCCTTCCTTAGACCTAGTCCGGCTCCTCATCCTCAGACCCCGTGGAGGTGTCCCCTGCAATGGGTTTACTCCAGATTGAGAGCCTCCCCTCCTCAGCACACAACCCAGAGACTCACCCTGTATTGAGCAGCAAGCCACCACGTAAACAGCCAGGAGACCTCACTTCAGCCAAATAACACTTTATTTTATTTGTTTCATTCCTTTTTTCCCGGAGGAAAGAGAGGAGCTCCAGAGAGCAGTGTCATCAAAATTTCCTGGTGGTTGTTGAATCGCAGCAGCAGGTGTAGGTCAGGAAACTTTTCCGGATTACTTTCTTCCTCCTGAAATTAAAGAAAACGTGCAGGACTCATGAACTGGTAAGATTTTCCAACAATTGTGCGAATATCGTGCTGGATTTCCGAATAGAAAGTTATATTTAAATGACTTGTGCTGCTTGTCTACGCACCATCTTCAGCAAACATGAGATGTTTTTGTAGCATTTCAGCAGCTTTTAAAGAAGGGAAAGTGCCTCGTTGAGTACAAAGGTGACCATCTTCTTGATTAGCCACCTCAGCTCGGCGATAACGCTTTCTGTTGCTAGTTGTGGGGCGTATGTCATTAATTGGTTGGCACACCAATTTTCTATCACATCCGTCAGAAACTCGACCACTTTAGACACTATCACTCTCTTGACCATCGTCATCATAAGTGAAATAAATAAGTCCATGATGCCTGCAGTAAGGGTGTTGTTGGTTTCAGGCAAAAGCAAAGAATGACAGTGTTCCTGGAAAGCCGAGGCATTTTATAGAAGGTCACGTGGCGGGGGGCGGGCCAAGATGGCCATTTAGAAGCAGCTGCCTTCGGCTGAATGAAAAGCGTGGGGAACTGCGAAATAAGCGCCTCATCTGAAATATTCATGTTCTCACATTGGGACTGACTAGGTAAACAGCTTGACCCAGGAGAACAAAGAAAACAGGGAGGGATGATGATTCGCCCTGTACGGTCACAGAGCCAAAGGAACAACCTCCGCCATCTGAGGGAAGCCCTGAGTCAGTGTGAGACCCCGCCCCAGAAACCATGCTTCTCCCATGGATCTTTGCGACCATGAATCAGCAGATCCCCTCATGAGCTCAGCTCATAAGGGCCTTGGGTCCAGGACACAGGGCTGTGTGGAGTGTTGGCAGAGCAGCCGCTCAGACACACATAGAGACCCCGGAGTTTACATACCCGGGCCTTGGGAAGCCGGGAAAACCGGGAGTTCCGTCTATACATTTCCCCAGGAAGGGGGCTGAATTCAGGTGTTACAGGAGTTTTTAAGAAATTATTTCAGGCAGATAGAGAGGAAAAGGGGTCCTTGGGAAGTTTTGTTTATTTTTAAAGCAGCTCCAGAAATGAGTCTTGTCTAGCAGGAAAGCCCCGTCTTTTAGAGTTCTCTGGTAACATTTGAGCGGCAAATGCTGGCCATTAGAAACTGGGTCCACCCAAACATGGTGATTCCCGCCTGCTTCTGGCCCTTGCCCCTACCTGTGCCTGACAACCTGGCCACCCCCACATATCCCCATGTGTGTAGGACATCATGGCTGCCGGCACATGCATATTCAAAGGCTAGGGTGGAAGGGCCAGTTTTGTCGTGGGCTACCTAAAAGACATGCCTGGTCAAACCAATCCCCTGAACCCTATGCAATTAAGACACCGCCTCCTCCAGCCTCCTCAAGTAACTGCCTGGTATCCACAGCACTCTGGGTTTCCTCTTTTGGCTTTGGAGCCCCCCCCTCCCTCTGTCTCAGTATGGGGAGCTTCTTTCTTCTTTCTTGCATATTAAACTCTGAGCTCCTTAAAACCACAGTATGTGTTTTTGTGTCATTTTCTCCAATTCAGCGTGAGACATGAGCCCTCGTGTTCCTCTACTCATCGGAGCCATATCACAGGGAGCCAGAGACGCTCATTCTGTTGGCCCCACTTTCACAGCACCTCTCAAGTCCCACTGGCTTGGCATACCAGCCAAGCAGTGGCAATATGCTGGAGACTGCCTGAGACTACCAAGTTCTGGAAGGTTGGGGCGGCTACCATCTCTGTGTTTCCGTGGACTCAGACACTCTAACCTTTGGGCTCAAGGGAGTCCAGTTGGTCTGGAGCAGGAGGGGTACCCCACAAGGCAGCACTGCTGCTGTGCCTGATAGTGGCCAGACTGTTTCTTTAAATTTGACCTTGGTTCATACCTCCTTACTGAGTAGGTTCTCCCTACCAAAATTTCAGGAACTCTAGCCAGGGTTATATGGTTGGTGGAAAGCCTGATCTCTTTCTGGGATGGAGGCCCTCTGGGAATGGCAGCTGTCATCTCTGTAACTGTCAACTCAGCCTTTCCAGCCGAATCAAATGAACAAAGCTGGGAGTATCACATTTACTGATTTCAAATTATATTACAAAGCCATAGTCAACAATACAGCATGGTAGTCGTATAAAAATAGACACACAGATCAATGTAACAGATGAGATAACCCAGAATGAAAGCCACACATTTACAGCCAACTGATCTTTGAGAAAGTTGACAAGAATACACTGTAGGGAAAGCACACCCTTTTCAATAATTGGTGCTGGGACAATTGAATTGTCATATGTAAAAGAATAAATCTGGACTCCTATTTCTTAGCATATTTATAAAAATCAATTTAAGATGGGTGGAGCAAGATGGCCGAATAGGAACAGCTTCAGTCTCCAGCTCCCAGCGAGAACGACACAGAAGACAGGTGATTTCTGCATTTTCAACTGAGGTACTGGGTTCATCTCACTAGGGAGTGCCGGACAATCGGTGCTGGTCAGTTGCTGCAGCCCGACCAGCGAGAGCTGAAGCAGGGCGAGGCATTGCCTCACCTGGGAAGGGCAAGCGGGAAGGGAATCCCTTTTCCAAGCCAGGGGAACTGAGACACACAACACCTGGAAAATCGGGTAACTCCCACCCCAATACTGTGCTGTACCAAGGGTCTTAGCAAATGGGCACACCAGGAGATTATATCCCACACCTGGCCGGGAGGGTCCCACACCCACCCACGGAGCCTCCCTCATTGCTAGCACAGCAGTCTGCGATCTAACTGCAAGGCAGCAGCGAGGCTGGGGGAGGGGCGCCCACCATTGCTGAGGTGTAAGCAGGTAAACAAAGCAGCTGGGAAGCTCGAACTGGGTGGAGCTCACAGCAGCTCAAGGAGCCCTGCCTGTCTCTGTAGACTCCACCTCTGGGGACAGGGCACAGCTAATCAACAACAACAACAACAACAACAACAACAACAAAGCAGCAGAAACCTCTGCAGACACAAACGACTCTGTCTGACAGCTTTGAAGAGAGCAGTGGATCTCCCAACACGGAGGTTGAGATCTGAGGACGGACAGACTGCCTGCTCAAGTGGGTCCCTGACCCCTGAGTAGCCTAACTGGGAGACATCCCCCACTAGGGGCAGACTGACACCCCACACCTCACATGGTGGAGTACACCCTGAGAGGAAGCTTCCAAAGCAAGAATCAGACAGGTACTCTCGGTGTTCAGCAATATTCTATCTTCTGCAGCCTCTGCTGCTGATACCCAGGCAAACGGGGTCTGGAGTGGACCTCAAGCAATCTCCAACAGACCTACAGCTAAGGGTACTAACTGTTAGAAGGAAAACCAACAAACAGGAAGGACACCCACACCAAAACCCCATCAGTATGTCACCATCATCAAAGACTAGAGGCAGATAAAACCACAAAGATGGGGAAAAAGCAGGGCAGAAAAGCTGGAAATTCAAAAAATAAGAGCACATCTCCCCCTGCAAAGGAACACAGCTCATCGCCAGCAATGGATCAAAGCTGGATGGAGAATGACTTTGACAAGATGAGAGAAGAAGGCTTCAGTCCATCAAACTTCTCAGAGCTAAAGGAGGAATTACGTACCCAGTGCAAAGAAACTAAAAATCTTGAAAAAAGAGTGGAAGAATTGATAACTAGAATAATTAATGCAGAGAAGGCCATAAACGAACTGACAGAGATGAAAACCGTGACACGAGAAATACGTGACAAATGCACAAGCTTCAGTAACCGACTCAATCAACTGGAAGAAAGAGTATCAGTGATTGAGGAGCAAATGAATGAAATGAAGCGAGAAGAGAAATCTAAAGAAAAAAGAAGAAAAAAAAATGAACAAAGCCTGCAAGAAGTATGGGATTATGTAAAAAGACCAAATCTACGTCTGATTGGAGTGCCTGAAAGTGAGGGAGAAAATGGAACCAAGTTGGAAAACACTCTTCAGGATGTCATCCAGGAGAACTTTCCCAACCTAGTAGGGCAGGCCAACATTCAAATTCAGGAAATACAGAGAACACCACAAAGATACTCGTTGAGAAGAGCAACCCCAAGACACATAATTGTCAGATTCACCAAAGTTGAAATGAAGGAAAAAATCTTAAGGGCAGCCAGAGAGAAAGGTCGGGTTACCCACAAAGGGAAGCCCATCAGACTAACAGCAGATCTCTCAGCAGAAACTCTACAAGCCAGAAGAGAGTGGGGGCCAATATTCAACATTCTTAAAGAAAAGAATTTTAAACCCAGAATTTCATATCCAGCCAAACTAAGTTTCATAAGTGAAGGAGAAATAAAATCCTTTACAGATAAGTTAATGCTTAGAGATTTTGTCACCACCAGGCCTGCCTTACAAGAGACCCTGAAGGAAGCACTAAACATGGAAAAGAACAACCAGTACCAGCCATTGCAAAAACATGCCAAAATGTAAAGACCATCGAGGCTAGGAAGAAACTGCATCAACTAACAAGCAAAATAACCAGTTAATATCATAATGGCAGGGTCAAGTTCATACATAACAATATTAACCTTAAATGTAAATGGACTAAATGGTCCAATTAAAAGACACAGACTGGCAAACTGGATAAAGAGTCAAGACCCATCAGTTTGCTGTATTCAGGAGACCCGTCTCACATGCAGAGACACACATAGGCTCAAAATAAAGGGATGGAGGAAGATCTGCCAAGCAAATGGAGAACAAAAAAATGCAGGGGTTGCAATACTACTCTCTGATAAAACAGACTTTAAACCATCAAAGATCAAAAGAGACAAAGAAGGCCATTACATAATGGTAAAGGGATCAATTCAACAGGAAGAGCTAACTATCCTAAATATATATGCACTCAATACAGGAGCACCCAGATTCATAAAGCAAGTCCTTAGAGACTTACAAAGAGACTTAGACTCCCATAGAATAATAATGGGAGACTTCAAAACCCCACTTTCAACATTAGACAGATCGAGACAGAAACTTAACAAGGATATCCAGGAATTGAACTCATCTCTGCAGCAAGCA